AGAGTGTAATGGAGACGTGCTACTGAATCCGTATGTTCGACTAGGAACCCAAGGGACAAATAATAACAGTAATAATATTGAAAGGAGGCTGAACTTTTCTACAATGAAGACACTTCTGAGCTTTAGGTTGTTAGTGAGATGTGAGGAAATAATGGAATAATTTCAAGTTGCAAATGCCTTTGAATTTCTTTTTTTTAATATATATCTGAAAAAATGTTGAACTATAGCAAGGAATATTTTACATCTATGGATTCGACTCCAATTCAGAGTTAGGTTTCCAGAATAAGGTGGCGGTTTAAGTTACTTAGAAGCTGGTTTCAGAGTCATTTATTTGATTAATGCTCTTTGATGTTAAATGATTCACTGCATTTATCAAATGGATGAACAGCCCTTGTAAACAGGAACAACACAAGTTTTTACATTTCTAGGAATAGCCAAACTTACCTAGTCACATAAGATAGTTTCATCTTAAACTAATGTCAGTTGGAGGAAGACTGGGAAACTTTGAGCACCAGACAAGCGTTTTGTCTTCGGCAGTGCACGCCCATCACCCCTTCCTAATAGGAATCGAACCCATAACCTTCAGGTCCCGTGGCCACTACCTTACCATTCAGTCACTCGGTCGGAATCTAATGCTCTATATTCCCAACTTCTGTCAGCTCACTACATAGTGCGAACATCACTCAATATTGCCGTTGAGTAACAGTTTTCATGTTCAACTTTGCTGACTTTACTGGTGATTAGTTGTCATTGGAATTTCAAGAATCACCTCTTGGATCTAGTCACCGATGAGGGCTAGATTAATTCATTCTGGAGGTTGATGGAGGTTTATTAGTTGATTTTAGGTTGGAGGAATACTGGAAACCTAGGAACACTAGACAGCTGTTTCATCCCACTTGTATAGGACTCCTCAGCAGTGCGCAGTCGTGACCGCTTCGACCAAGTCAACAACGTTGGATATTTGTCGTGCTATATTAGGTTCTGACCTAGTGGCTGAATGGTAAGATTCTGTTCATGGAACTCAAAGGTACCGGGTTTGATCTACGCCAGTGTGGGGTCATGGATGCGCACTACAGAGGAGTCCTATACTAGAACAAAACGGTTGTCTGGTGTTTCCAGGTTTCAAATATTCCTCCTACTAATGTCAGTCTATGTCGAATTCCAACCTCAAATCAACAAAATAAACTTGCACATATCTCCAGATAGAACATAAGACTATTCGCAACATATAATCTACCATTTTCACATGGTTTTGTTGCTGTTGTTATTTGAATGGATTCGTGACTGTTTCATCAGCTGACAAGAACTGTGAATTATTCAAAATCATTTGAATGACCACAATTTCATTAGTCTGCCTGTAAAACTTCATCATAATGAGTAGTATATTTAACTAACTAATCCGTAAATAAGTGCTTTTTGAAAATTTTGAAGGTTCAAAAAATGAACAGACAATGATGAAGCAGTACATGTAATTCAGTCTTACAGGAGGTCAATCCTGGCAGAAATGGCCCAAGAATAACGTCACTGACTGCAAACATCGGCGATACAGGTTTAAATCTGTGGGTGGATATCAGTTCCTCACTGACGAGTGTTAAAAAGCACGAAAACTGATCAAACAGGGTTTCTTGCCGATTGCCCACATCAAAATAAGAACAGAAATTATTTATTGGTTTTCTTCAGATTTTCAGATTTGTCCTCATAACTTTCGTTATTTGATTAAGTATCTTCTTCAGAGTGAAGTTTGTCCACAAATTGAAGAATATCTTATTTGCATAAATGATTCGAGAAATCGTTTGTCGACCTTAAAATGACGACTATGGTTGGGCGTTCTTTCCATACTTAATTCTACACTTCTTATTCTATAATGGCTTAGGGTAAGAAAATAAGTTTCTATGTTAATTCATAGCTCCTGCCTTCCAAGTTTCACTTGGTTATCGATCTTTCTTAGTCTTTGTAAGTGGTCACTTTTTTCATTTGATCAAGAGTTAACTAGGTAGCTAGTTCATCTGAGTTCGATTCTCATGGGAATTGGATTCTTTTTGTCAAGATTATACTTTGTAATTCGTTTCTTCTCAAAATCTAAAAGTTTTTAAGTTTTTCGGTACAGTCAAAGGATAAGGGTAATCAAAAACGAAACTGAATTATATTTTCCCCTCTTCTTTGTGAATCAAGAGTTTAGGCTTATAAGTAGCGAGTCTGAAGGATGCTGACACTATCTTGCTTCTAGAAGCATAGAGAGTCGAGTAGGGTTCAAGTCAATGGCATCCCGGTTAGATGTCGAGTACCTGTCACAATGAAATATCTCTCTCTTACTCTTCTGTAGGCATCCGTATTGTTTTCAATGGTTGCATGACTGTAACCTCAGCCTCTCGTAATAACTGTAAGCCCGAATAATCTCTTTGAGTTGACTCATAGGTTTATCAGCTCTAAACACAGACGTATACGTTTTTCAAGGAGTTTGCTCATCACTGACAAAAACACTGATCATTTCTCTGCATCATCTAAACGAATGCATAATTCAATTTTATGACAGCTTTTTGTCTAGTAGTTGTATGAACCGATTGGTTCCAGTTGAATATTCATCTTCAATAAACTCTGCTTTGCTTACAGTTTAACGCAACAGGAAACAGACAGCTGTTTCGATAAAACAAACATCCTAAACTGTGTAAATATTGCCCACATAAACTATGAACACTCACTACATAATCAGCTTTTAACATTGTGTTCCCTCTGTGGCACATTGATAAATCATACACGGATTTAGTTTCCCTTCGAGTATATATTTCTAGTTAACTGCTGATCTGGCCTATCACTTACAAGGACAAAGAGTTATATTGATTCTAATTGAAGCACTGATGATCAACCAATCAACTTCAGTACATGAGTGGGCGTTATAATGTATGATTAGTTTGAAATGATGAAAATCAATATATTTCATTTGCATAGTTATGAATGGTTAAATGGATAATTTCGGACATAAATAGACTCTGTTTACCTTCTAACACTGTCTACTCATTTCTGTTGATTTTTTACGTTTCATTTTGATCAGTTTAATTAGGTTTCCATTTATGGTGTAAATATGTACGGGAATGGAGAAAAAATTTTTTAAACAAACGATAATGTAGATATGATTAGAATTCCTTTTAGTGTTTATCTTTAAAAACTTGTTTGCGATTGTGTTTTAAAGTTACACAACTGCATAAAAATGAACATCACATGAATGTCAGTGTTGCATACATTACAATAGCAGTAACCTTCATAATTCTGAGCATATATTAATTAGTGACCATTGATCAACGGTTTATGTTTTTCTAAAAAGTTTTTTTGGAAGTTTTTCTCTCCCCAGTGACTTAGGAAGTGTTGCACTAGCAGTATAATTATCTAGCAGGTTGTTACTTTGGATTAGTGGCCAAGTAGACAATACTTCAGCGTTTGAAGTGATGGGTGCTGGGTTCGAATCCTAATGGGAATAACATTAGTCACTGGAGTGCAGGTACATTCGGCTGATGAGTCCAAAGTAGGGAGAAACTAGTGTCCTGGATTCCACTTCAAGCCGCCAAAAAAATTACAACTTTTCGTTTTATATTTAGTCATCATTTCGCATACGGAATACCAGTCTGCTAAACTATGGGTATATCAAACTGCCTCATCAACTGAGATTCCTTGTTCTTTCTTCGTAGTGTGTTTAACTATAGGTTACTAGACATTGGCACTCCGTTATATAGATGTGGTCAGCAACAGATTTTAGCATGAACCAAGGGATTAACTTTATTGGCTGTAAGTCTCAAAATAAATCGCAAAACTTTAGATCTTGATTGTTGAAGGGAATTAATCAAACCATCAGAGAGTTTTCATTATCTTGACGTTTTAAGCGTATGTTGGTCATGCATTTTATAAGAAAATGTATTGATATGTGCATAATACTTCCAGGAAGGGGAATTTTTAAGTTTTTACTGCAAGTACGATTATAAATAACACGAAAGGATAGGTATGAGTGGAACATACACTGTTCAGTTGCAATACAGCTGATCATAAGTAGGACACTTATCATGACAGCATGAAGACTGTGAAATTTAATTCATTACAAGGTGAACGAGTGAAAAATAACTAGCAGATTTCAACAAAAAGATCATGGCACAGATGAGCCTCCCTTTCAGCAAAATGTTTTGTGATGGGGATCATGAAATTCCCAGTTAATGAACTAAAAAGACACTAGTCAAAGTTAACTTATTGGGTCTTGATGATTTTACATTATACGGGGATACGACAGTAGTTAAGTGATGAATATTTTTGCTAGATTGCGCATGAAATGACATTATGGTCTACTAGGTGGATAAGGGTGGAGTTCAAGACACTCTGGTGAGTGATGTTGTTCTCACTGACACTCGAACACAGCACGCATCGCTTCAAACACCAAGGCGTTATCCACTAGGCTAATAGGTTACCGGGGCGCGAGAGCTATCTCTAGTGCAACGAGTATCAGTCATTGTTTACTGAATATCGTCCAATGCGGTGCAGGAACATTCACTTAACGAGTCCCAAAGAGGACGAAACACGTGTTTGGGATGCACTGCTAATCACCAAGTGAACCACAATATAATGAATATCTGGGCAGTATCGAGGCATCCTCAAAGGGGACTATCTATCAACATAGGTCGAGTAATGCTATCCTGTATAGCAACGGGAAATGCCAAGTACCAAAAACAAATGTACCATTGTATGAAATCACGATCTATTTTTACGTATATTACTTTCACATCCAAAATCATGAACAGATCACTCTCACTAGTGTCATTTTTCTAGCTCTCTTTGACCCCGTTTGCAGTGTCTCAAAGTATAACAGTCAGTCGGCCAGTCAGTCAGTCAACTATTCTATCAAACCTCAAGTCTCTGATTTTCACAATTTCATCAAATACCCTTAAACTAGGGGTCATATACATGCTTAGCAACATTCACTGATGACTATTTTCAATAATTCTACTTGTGTTTGTTTCGTATAGTCAACAGTCATCTCATCAGTTCAACAAACTGTGAACAGCCTGTACAACAGGTCACTGGGACCACAGGTGATCCAAGGAAGTCGAACAATCCTCAAGGAAGGTTGAGTGAACCAATATACACAAATTTTTGGCAGCGTATGTTTAGAAAAACAAAAAGTAAGCCAAGTTTCATTTGTATCTTTTAGTAGAAAAACAAAAGTAGATAAAGGAATAGAATAAGTAGCAATTAAACAAGTTGTAGAAATCCCAACGTAACTTTCGGCCTGATCACTGAACAGTAAACAGTTTCATGTTGGTTTGTTCAAACAACTAATTGAATTCTACTCATTATTTTGGAATGTAATCACCAAGCTTTCGTGAGTTAAGATCTCTACCTTGTCGATGAGCTCCAACAAGCATAAAAATCGAATTTCAGCGCTTCATGTTGATCTCCACACGTATCGATATACGTCTGTTTCGAAAGCGAAACTTCTTGAACAGAATGGTAGAAAAAAGGTGGTCGAGAAATATGCCTGGCAGTCAGGTGATACTCTAACTTAATTTAAACTTTATAATTTCCAAAACAATGGGAATTAATACACCTTCGTTTCCTGCGTTGAGTAAAGACGAGTAGTGATGTTAATCGACTGGATAGTTCGAGTTTAACTAAGATGGTTTATGAGATCCACGCTATATTGATAGAGTATTATTTAATGCATCCAGTGAGTATTGAGCTAATTAAACCCACTGATTGTTCCCTTTGACAGTTTTTACGCTGTTTCATATCTGTTCCCAATAGCTTACCTAAATTAAATGCTTTAACTCTCTCTCCTTTTGTGAGCATTTACGTTGTGTGTGTATTGGACTTTTCTGGGGGTTTATTTATTGTTAACTAAGTTGATATTCACCATAGACTAACATATGATGGAGAACTATTCAGAACTTGGAAGCATTGGAGAGTTGTTTGCTCTCAGTAAAAGTTCCCGAAAGTACGCACTCACGGCCCCATCCTTCAAGGATTGAGCCCAGGACATACGGGTTCCACAGAGAGTCTGTTAACATTAGGCCATTGGGTCAGAATCCAATGGATCACATTTATCTACCTCTGTCAGTTTGCCATATAGTGTGACCTTCAGTAAATACCTTCCTTGGGTAACATTCTTAAGTTCCACCCCTGAAGAATGTCATCATGATTCCGCACTTCTTAAGAGTTTCATGTTAGAATCAAAAACCTGTCCAGTACTCTCAGGTTTTCAATGGTTCTTCAAATGATGGTAATCTGTGATGAGTACCAACTTGAAATCAATAAATAAATACCCGCGTACCTCCAAATAGAAAGGTTAACTTTTAAAACATCCCCGTATCTGGCATGTTACCATGGTAGCTCTATGGTCATTGTTTCGTTCAAATAAATATCTTTAACATATCACAATAAATGAAGAGATTAATTAGATTACACTCAAAATTGTTCATTTTACATAATATTTCATCGAAATAATGACTTGTAATGTCAGTCACACTTTCATAGCAACATGCCGGATACCGGTAGTTCTGGAAATGTGATCGAAGTATTCATTACTGATACAATATTGATTATTATGATATTATTTGTCCATTGGGTTCCTGGTGGGATATAAGGCTTCAGTAGCACTTCGCCATTTCACTACGTCCTCCACAGTTTTTTTTTAAATCTGGCTCAACCACTACCCATAAGCTTTCATTTCTTCCTCACATGATCTCCCCCATATCACCCTCACATCGGACACCCAACTCCTCGTTTCACATGCGGCTTCCACTCAATGACCTGGCATGCCCTCACACATGATGTCCCCAAATGGTCTTCTCAGTGTATGCCCAGTCCAATCCATCTCTACTTTCTCCTCCTCCATATTTGTTAACCGATGGGTTCTTCCTTGGTTGGTTCCTTACCAGCCAACCACCCAGCCAGAGTTACTACTTGTTTATTCTTATTGTTCTGGCAATCCATCTGATCTTCAGTGTCAGTATCGAATCAGCGTAGGTGGCAGCCGTTGATGTCATGTATGTTTGTGGTTTGTTGGAAATGCGTTTCGTAACACGCCAAGTCTCTCAACCATCACATAGAAGCACTGACTTACTTGACTGAACTGGTGTTGAAAATCTGGATGTTGTTCACAGTTTATGCTGAGTGCAATGCAATACAGTAGATCTCCACACTGATTATTTTAGGTTAATGAAGGCCTGTCTTGCTGTGTTTGCCATCCTGGCTTTGACGTCCTCATGTGTGCCACCGCCTGTAGTTGGAACGATGCAGCCTACCTAGGTAGGTAGGTAGGTAGGTGAAAGAGACCACTTCCTTCAGGTTTCTCCCGTTGATGGTGATTAGTGCTTGTTATTGTCAGTTGGGTATCTCCATCACCCCTGTCTTCTCTACGTTCAACTGAAGAAAGTCCCGTCTTTGCTGCATCGTCTCGTCTCTTCTGTCAACTTGTTAGTTTTCGCTTGCAGATCTTCGTGTTTGTGCGACATTAGACATAAATCATCATCGGCGAAATCCAAATAATGATAGAGACTACAAAATGGGTTGTGAATTTATTTTTCCATTCAGTTTTAACTTGCACAGCTCGACAGTACTATTCACTGGATAACATGTCTGACAGTGAATATTTTCCAATAACTTATTAGGCTGAATACAAATGGATTATATAATTCTTATTATCACCCATATTTACCTATCTAACTTGTTCAGCAGAACTTATTCCTGTATTCGCTACAGCAAGCTTGACAGAAAACTTAAGTTATCATATGAACACAATGCAAAGAGTGAGAGTAGGTTTTGAAATTGATATGATGAAAAAGTTAAAAACTAACCAACAGAAGGTCAAGAGGTTATGAAATTTTAATATGTATCGAGGATCTACACCCATACTGATTCTGCAACTATTGTTCTACTTGATATTCAAATTTATAAAATGGAAGAATTATATGAAAATGAAAAATGTTTTAGAAATTGTCCTTATGCTAAATTGACACCGAGGCCAATCACTAATTATTCGTTCTTGTAATATACCCACGAATATGATACCAAAGAAGAATAAAATAGTGTAATCAGATGGGAATAGTATATTTGAGAGGTCATACCGAAATACCGATATGTTCCGACTAGCTGACTACACGATCGATTATGATAACGTACCAAATGGCGTCAATACTTGACTGTTTGCCTTCAGCTTAGTGAGTTCGATAAAACTATGAAGGTCAGCATGAATGTTGTATCTTTTCAAACCCTAGGCTATTAATTTGGGAGAATTATGCGTCGCTATAATATTTCCAAGTGAAATAATTATTGCATCGAAATAATTCTGTTTGTAATAGTGATATAAGCAAGCAGTAGTCTGCAATAGTCAGCTAATGTTTGGTTGTCTAGCCTGCTAGCACATTGTTTCAGGGGTTCAGGCTAACAGAAATACCTGTATTTATTAGGCGGTAAAGATCCCGTTTGTAATAACGGATGTCTTTAAAGTCTACCCCAGAACCCGCTAAAATAACTACGTCCCTTAGTTTCGTCTGCAATGGTAGTTTTTTCATCCTTAACAAAACTCAACTGACCAATTGTGTACTTGCTAGAGTGGACCATAGAGTTACTCGCTATCATGTCAAAATAAACAGTTTAGCTTGAATCAAAAGCTTAAACTAATTACGAGTGTCCTTAAAGGCCACCCTAACAACTACCTAGACAACCAGTTACATTTCTCTGCATTTTATTTTCACCAGAAAAACACCATCTTCTTACCCAAAATAACGAAACCTGATTGGTTATTTCAAAGGCTTTTACGGTGGCCTCAAAGGCCATCCCTGCCACCGTCATGTGATTCAAAGTCTATGCTCCCTCCCCAAGCTGAATGTCTCAACTGACTAAACAATTTCTGAAATAACTTATTCGATTGCTTTATAAACAAAACTACTTGATCAGCTGGAACAGAGAAATCTGACTGGTTGTTTCAGTGGTTGCCAGGGTGATCGCGAGAGACTTTAAAGCCATCCTAGCAACGATCAAAATAACCAATCAGGTTCCTTAATTTTGGATAGGCAGATTTTCATAAAATAGACAAGTCTGGTTGATTATTTCACTTGTTGCTATAGTGGCCTTTAAAGTAGTCTGGTGATCACTTTAATCAAGAGACTTTAAAGGCCATCGTAGCAACTGCGGGAATAACCAATCAGGTTTCGGTATTCTGTCTAGAAAGGTAGTTTTTCATAAAACAGAGAAACCTAATCGGTTATCTCAGCAGTTGCTGGGGTGGCCTTTAAAGTCACTCCTTTAATCAGTCAACATGTCTGGAGTGACTTTTGAGGGTAACTTTAAAGGCTACCATACCAACCGCTGAGATAACCAATCAGGTTCCTCAATCTTATGATAAGTTATCTTTCCATTTGGTTGGCTAATTTAGCACTTAACAGGGTGGCCTTGAAAGTCAGTTGACTTCTGAAAGCCATCATGGCAACTGTTGAAATAATCAATCACACTTCTCTATTTGAAGAATAAGTACCATCCTAGCCAAAATACCGAGAACTGATTGCTAGCATGGCTTTTGAAGTCACTTCATGCTCACAAATTCAACGAATTACGATTTGGGCTTCAAAATGATGGGTATAATTTACACTTCATTGGCTATAACTTCCCAGTGAAACGGTATTGGAAAGCTTGTAAAAGCTCTTACAGCATATTACTACAAAATGGCTTCCTAGTAAACTCTCTTTAAGAATAAATACAATAATTGGCTAGAATTAAGTCACCTGAATTTCATATCTGTCTTTCTTCAGTCCATCATAACATACTCTACTTGCATGAGAATCTGCAATTCGTGCCAATTATTTCAAGGAACAGTTCCATGTTTGAGAGCCCATTGCCATTCACATTAGTGTTCCTATTTAATTATATTTCTAGCTTGCAAGTGATAGGCTAGAAATATGTTAGTACAACTTATAGAGCAGAAATTCTATACAATTTTCACCAGTGGAAAACTTTTAGTAGCGTAAGGTTAAAACAAACTGGCAACATCGTGGTTGTTGTTCTTGAAGGATGCTCATCTAAAAATCAACACTAAATTAGTCAGAGACATATGACTGGAAGCATAGGATAAATAATTATGCTAAGTATATTATATGAAAGTTGATGAAGCTGACTGCCTTAGAAATCCCAAAAATTGTTCAATATGAATAGTATCTTGACATGCATAATGTCAAGTGTGATAGTAGAACGTCCTCAAACCAGCTTTTACATGTACATGAAGGCTGCCGAAAGAAAAATCTATGCAGCCCTCTTCCAGATCACCTTTACTAGTCAGTCGATGGTAAACACTTGTACTACTGAAAACCTGTCACTGCTAGCCCCTTCAGTGTGCATATATCGGTTCACTTCCTCCAGTGGATCAAGGTACCTGGGTCGTATGGGGACGTAAATTGTTTAATATCACTCTCAACACTTCCGAGTATGGCTTAGTGGAGGTAAACCTGGATCAACCAAACACTATATTGCTACGAATGTTTGACAGTTGACACAGTCTAAGGAGATTCGCTTACGCTCATCTTCAAAGTATAGAGTAACCGCATTTTTATCGATTTATTAGATTTATCACGCAGTGTGGGAACAGTATTGTTTACTGGATTACGTTTCGGACATATTTTATTGTCCATAGTCATAGCAAGATAACTACACAACTTTGAGATATCCTTTAAGTAGTCCTAATTTTTCTCGTGAGGGAATGTTGCATTGCTAAATCCCTGGCAATATAACTATCGAAACCGGAATTGTGTATTCAGAGGCAAATTTGTCATTCTACGTCCTTATTCACTTCGTACTTCTTAAACTTTCAAATTCTTAGGCCTAACTAATCTTTCAATTGTCACATTGCTCTTATGTAGACTATTTTCGTTTAGCCGTATGTTACTTAACATGAGAAGCAAGCATACTGTTCTTGTTGTATCCCAAGAGGAAATAAATTTCGGTTGGATTCTTTAGCAAAAGATATTTGATCCGCAGTTTATATAGTACACACGTCAACATCAACAACGTCATAGCATTTCGTTTTGTATTCCGTGAGTTTGATGTTTTTGGCACTCACACTGCCTACTTATTTTGCGACCAGTAGTATAAAAATATATGTAAATAAATTGTGGCATTTTTTTTTAGGCTTCGACTCAGAGCCGGTGAATGTGATTTCGGACACTTCATATTCACCATCGAACAAGTTTGATGTAAAGACATGTAGCTTGGAGGATAATGTAGTAAGTGTCCCTTCCGTCGTTCAAGGTTCTTCTGGAATAACAGCAGCGGCAACAACAACAACACCGATAGAAAGAACAGTAATTGTAACGACAACGCCGACAACCAGGCCCCTGTCGATGGATTCAAGTGATCTCAAAAATAATCCATACAAGTTGGAACGCCGACACTTTTCAGAGTATGGTCACCATCAGTTTCAAATTACATCTTTATCAACAAGAAAACAAAGGTTACTGCGTAACCACCATCATTATCAACAGAATACTAGCTCTGGTACAACTACCCATACAAATGACAATTATGTAAGTGGTAGTAGTAGTAGTAATCGAAATTCATCACCACCTGCTATTCAGCCAATATCACAGACTGGTTACTCACTGGCCAGTAGAAGAGCTGTGTCAAAAACAGATTTACGCAATTGTAACTTGTCTAAACGGGAATCAAAGAGTCAAAATTATCTTCACTTGGTTGATTCACCAAAAATGCGTTTTGTACGCGTTATGCATGCATTTGCCAGTGTACCAGACTTGACGAAAAAGCCAACTCGAAGTGCACTGAAAGGAAGCAGAAATAACAGGTAAGTGACTGACTTTGATTTTAAGGTTTATTAACTCCTTGGTGGTGTACTCTCTCATGTAGACGCTTTTCTACTAGATGGCATGTTTATAATAATAATAATCTTCTTAACTAATGGATTAAGTGCCTAGAGAATTGATTGTGTAAGCAGCCGGTAACTCAGCGGTGCAACTAAACACATGTTTGAAGAAAACATCTGGTTCAAGATTCACCATAGGCAATAAAATGATCAAGAGTAGATCCCGTCCAGGCATTATCTGTTTAAAGCTTCTGGAACTTTAGAGAAAATAGAATTTTAAAAAGTGGAGGTTAGTACCAGTGGATTTCATCAAAACGACATATTACTTCGACAAACTCTTGAATTTATTTCAATGAGGGAAAACTATCAACAGATTGAAATACAGAAGTAGATATGGGGCAAGTGAAACCAAGATCCAGTTGCCAGGACAGTATGAGATTGATTCCACTATGATTATGTACACAGAGCTACAGTAGTGATTGTTCGATTGTAATTACTTCTGGAAAGTAAAATGGACTTAGTGTTGAACATTCTGAAAGCCTCACTAACTTCTACTTCATGTTTTGTGTTGACTGTGTGTCTAGCGATTTCATTTATAGAAACTTTACTCCGTTCGACAAGTGAACCTTTTGAAACATGTTCAAAAAATGTATCCTTTGCAACAGGGGAAATTTTGTGAAGTACTCCTTTGATTGTTGTTTCTTATGTATTGGACGTCTAAAATATTTCACGTGGGATTACGTCCTGACATTAATAAAAGTGGCCAAAACCTAAGAAATATAATGAAAAGGCACTTTCACTCCTCCCGCCGTTAGTATCCTTTTGTGTTCTCTCGTGAATCTTTTCATTTCCTGTAGATGCATCGCCTCTTTCAATGATAATCATCATCATCATCATTTATGCCTACATTTGTTCAAATTCTAACTTACTAAGACATCACCATGAAAGATGCGGAGTTGGAGGTACTTTCATTTTGATAGACTGACAATTAACTGGGGAGAAAAACTTCCTCTTTGTATCTGTGTAACGACTGAAACCAGTGTTTGAAGACTCTAGGTGATATATGGTATTCGTGCATGCACTTCTTACCTTTTCCTTAATTATTATATCACGTCATATTACTTGTCTCCTCTCCTCTCTTCTCGTCCCATAACGTTCTATGATTTCTGGTTTTGTTATTGCTACTTCTCTGTCTTTCGTGTTGTCCCCCTCCATTTCTGACTTCTGAATGATGTAAAGTGGGGTAAATTAAATCACTACACACTCAGACTAGGAGGCATACTGGTGCTAACTATCTGACTTATGACTAACGATTTTGACAAGTTATGTCATAATGCCCTAACATGTATTAGGAGGTACTTATTATTATTTTGTCGAAACCAGTCAAGAATAACAGAGAGGTCAGTAAATAGTCAATAAGACGTATTTTGTCTAAAAAGGTGTGACTTATTTGCATAAATCTTCCCGAGTAATCTGATGGCACACTTAATGGTCATGCATATTTGTATCAAGTGTATAACAACAGGTAAATAGGTTGACAGAAAAATAGGTATTGTAAAGAGTGAAATTTTGATTTAGGAGGTGGAATTATAAGTGGAAAAAGGTTACCGAGGAGCCGATTATTTGATGTTTCATATGTAGATTCATGGATCTCATCATTGGAGGTTTTTTTATACCACATACTGTTCTACTTCAATAAAGTTGTTGAACCTTTGTTGTTATTCAATGTAAACATGTTGTTAAATTGGTCAATAATGTAATCAGTTAACATTTTTCCACTTGAGATTTGTGTTCAGTCATCACTGAGTAATAATGATTCCGTCTTGACAAAAAAAGTGCAACTTGATACGGATTCTGTTATCTAATCTCTAGAGCAGTAGCGCATTGGACAAGGAATAGAATAGTAGCGGAAGAAGTTGTCACTTTGTATATGTCTTTATTGGGTCGGTGAAAAGATCCTAGAAGATTTGGATTTCACCCATGACCTGTGTCTAATGTCACACAAAATTGAAGATGTACAGGCGAAATCCAACAAGTTGACAGAAGATGTAGGGCAGTGAAGACGGCACCTCAAGTGAACGTAGAGAACACAGAGGTGATGAAGATACCCGAACAACAACAAGCTCCAATCACCATCAACAACAGAAACTTAAAGGATCTAGCCTCTTTCACCTACATCTACATCTACACCTACACCTACCTAGGCAGCATAGTTTCAACTACAGGCGCCACAGGCACAGACGAGCACGTCAAAGCAGCCAGGATCGGAAAGACAACAAGACAGGCCATCCTTCATTAGCCTGAAACCAGTGTGGAGATCAACTACATTGTACTCAGAATAAAGAGTCAACAATATCCTGATTTTCAACACCAATTCAGTCAAGTAAGTCAGTTCTTCTATGTAATGGTTGAGAGACTTGGCGCGTCACGAAAAGCATTTCCAATAAACCACAGATATTCATCAACAACTGCCTATGCTGGCTCGTTACTGACACTGAATATCAGATGGCCAGAATAATAGCAATAAGCAACAAGGAACTCTGGCTGGCTGGCAACGAACCAACCAACGAAGAAGCTATCGCTGAACAAATCTGCACTGGAAGGAAGTGGAGAAGGCCTACTGGGGGCATCACGCATCAGGCCAGTCCGTCGAGTGGAACCCAGATGGGAAGCGACGAGTTGGGCGTCAGAGGTGAGGGTGACATGGAAGAGGTCATGTGTGGGAGGAAGAAATGAGAGGTTGTGGGCAGTTGTGGAGCCAGGTTGAAAAGATTGCAGAGAAGGGAGTGAAATGGAGACGTGTTACTGAACCCCTATGTTCCACTAGGAACCTAAGGGATAAATAATAATAATCATAATATGTCATTATTTATTTCGACTCACTGTGTCCGCTGTAGTAGGATTAGACTGGAAATAGGTTAAGTGTGACAAGATGGCTTCAGTGTATAAAGTCTCTAGGTATCTCTGTCTAAGAAGCATAAACTGACTGGATAAGACTATCAAGAAGATTGTAATCAATAGTTGGAGATTGAGTTGTATGGCTCAAAATCATAGACAAATCCGACTAACTGCATATACTCAAGGGAAATTTCGGAATTCTTCGCGTTTTAACTAAATTTCATTGACTATTATTTTTAATGTTTTCTGCTGTACATATTTTTCTACCCGAATGTTATTTTGTTATGGCTTACTTCCACTTTTTGTCAGCTGTTATAAAGTGTAGCAACTTGAAGTGATATACTTCTGTGTCATTTTCTACGTTTATGCGTCTATTTGACTTAGACAGACGTACATATCGTCTACTCACCAACCTTGTGTACATTCCTGCAGTAAACAGTGAGCAACAACTGTTGCGTGGGACCTAATGATACTGCTACTTGACTGTTCAAACCTCGGTAGTTGCGTGGGGTTCGAACCCGACGGTGAGTGGTTGAAAATCAATTCTGTGAACCAATGAGTCACAGCTCCACTACACACATTCTGTAGACTTGATCATTTTAGTGGAGTAAGCACTTTTAACCAGAAAGCACTGAGATGTTAACTGATTATTTAGGTTTGCAAGTTGCTTGTTTTTCTTCTTCCTCTTTTACTAACTTTTCTCTTAGTTTATGACTTTCTCGCGTTTTTGCTGGTGGTAGCGCCACTTCTTGATTCTCCGTAACTGTCTCTGCGTGTGTGTGAGTGTGTTTTTTAGGAAGGATGGGCTCCTTTTTCCCTGTGTGGGCGAAGAAAGTAATCTGTGATCAAAAGAAAAAGGCATTCAAGTAGTCTGTGTTTATTGTTTCAGTTTTTCTACTGTTTATCTGAACAGTGTAGCCAGCAGTAATCTGCCTGACTAGTGTCCTCAAGACAATCTTAATCAATAGTTGGAGAAACCTGATGACATTATCTGAAATTAATTACAATCGTACAGGTGTGTATACTCTATCATCTTCAGTTAATAAAAATGACATTCTTTGTCTGCCTACTACTTTTCGGTATACTCGTCTGAAGTACTGATACATTTCTGTGACAGGACCTATGTTGGTTTGCTTGGCTGTCTCACTGTGTAGTCTGGTCTGGATCTTACCACATAGAACCTTAGGTTTTCTATACAAAAATCTAGGAGATCAGACAGCTATCAGCTGTTTAATGATAAAGAACTCGTTTTCAAGGTGGCTTTTTTTGTCAGTCACATGTGGTGTATGAACAAAGGTGGGTAGTAAAGTCTCATCGTCTTCTTTTAGCCACTGAACTGCCAGTACTACTATTTTAATCGAACTGATGTCACTTTAACGTACTTCAGTTTAGGCGCCGTTCAAGATGAACAGATCAAAGTAACCCAAAAAGACCTTGTTATTGCTTCGGCGTGTTTCTTTTCCAATGAAGAAATGAGAACGTCAGCACTGTATACCTGGAATTGAACTGTTCAGGTCAGCTACATGTGGCCATGTGAGTTGGAAACCCCTCTATACCATGAATTATGTACAGAGTATTCACTCACTCTTGGATTCACATCCTTATTTTATTCTTACGCCAGTTAGGAAACAGCATACCTCCACTTCACTGCTTACTGAAGCCGGTGTGCCTCATGGTGCAATACTTTCACCGTTTCTGTTTTTTTCCCTTTTGTACCACTCATCCTACTCTCCTTACACTAATATTGTTCAGTATGCTGATGATCTGTTAGTTTCTGTGTCAGTTGTGTCTCTCTCAATTAGATGGTTTCTTATCTATTATTGACCAGTGATCTTTCTTCAATGATCTCAAACTGGACTCTTCAGAAGGTCAAACTGTTAATTTCAGCCTCAGGAGTAACCAAGACTTGTGAGATCTACTTCGGTTTCATGGCTACTGTAGTATTGATGGTAATACTGTGGGAAGCATATCGCATGTTACCTATCTTCGAGTGAGTTTTTATTCTGATTTCGGTTAGTCGTCTCAGATCATGTTGACATTCAAGAAGATCTTTCATTTAAGGTTATTACATAAGAAAGCTGAAACTCTGTGGTATAACTCAACCTCTACTCTGACAATTTATTGATTCATGTATTATGCCTATTCTTCTTTGTTGTTCCTGTTAATCTTTGGTAGTCTACTATAAAAGGGGTTTGAAAGACATCAGTAGGGTAGATGGTGTGCATTTGGCTCAAGTGATTATTACTATAGTTGGAAGACACTTGAATTCAAGCAGAGAACTATGTAGAGTCATTTTATGTGATGGTGAGCATCCACTTTATTCACAGCTCCCTCCTTGTCTCTTCTCAGGAAGGAGGAGAAGGAACTATATAAGACTGTACGCTCACACAGCCTTACTTAGCATCCATCTTATGTGAAGAAAAGAGTGTTAGAATAAAACTTAATTATCAACTTCATAACAGTAGATAACCAATCTTTTTAATATTCCAACCATTCATGTATAAAACTGCCCTAACAATATTTATTATTATTATTTGTCCTTTGGGTTCCTAGTGGTTCCTAGTGGAACATAGGGGTTCACTAACACGTCTCCATTTCACTCTCTTCTCTGCAGTCCTTTTAATCTGGCTCTACCACTGCCCACAAGCTATCATTTCTTCTTCCCATGACCTCCTACATATCACCTTCGCCTCGGACGCCCAGCTCAATTATAAACTTTACAATATTTTCAATATTCTAACCAGTCATGTATACCTGCCCTCATTACTTAGATTATTTACGTAATTCATACTATTCATACTATTGGAAGTGTTGGAAAGGAGAACAGTGTTTTTGAAAATATTACATACTGAGAATTCCAAATTGTATTCAGGTCTATATTCATCATGAAATGATATCAGTTGTAAAAACATTGCAACCAGTGGCTCAATTACAGAGTACGTGTCACCAAAACTGAAGGTTATCGGTTCGATCACTGTAGGACGATGTCATAGGTGAACTCTGCCGAGGATCCCCATACCAAGACGAAACAGCTGTTCACTGTCTCTGGATTTCGAATAGTTGTCCCACTGGTGTCATTCCATGATGAATAGCAGCCTGAAATCAGTCAATGAATCCTCCATACACTTAGAAATTCCAATTTTTATCAGAAATTGTCCGGAATAAAGTGACTTTTACTATTACTATTATTATTATTATTATTAGTAGTAGTAGTAGTATGTCCACTGGATATGAGTAATGGTTGAATGTGATTATCCGCAGCCGATGTTTGAATATCACGGCAGCTTTTTGAAGTTTCTAGCTCAAGTCTGCTTGACTTTAGCCAAAAATACCAATTTAAGCGGTTCATTTTCATCGTCATGCAGTAAAACTGAAAAAGAGGGAATCTAAACTACCGTTGAAAGCTCTCCCCATGAGAGTACAAACTCTGAAGCAATAAAATTGCAAGAACGGCATGATATGTAAAAGAAAATGATATGACATATCTCTGACATTGTTTTCACTTTCTTTTAAGTTCAGTTTAATGAAATATCATTCCTAATTATTATTTTTTTTGCGATATCTTTCAATAGTACTAATCGATTAGTAAATGAACGTGAACCCCTTACAGTATCACCGAATCCTCTGAATTCAGACTCATTTTCCTTGACTCCACCAACACCAGCTGAAATAAGACACTTGGTTCATTTTCATTCAACTGATATACCTAGTACATTGAATACTATTAAACCTGTAAATAAAATTGATTTAATTAAATCGGATGATTCTGATTGGTCATTTGGACAATATAACTCAACCAATGAGAATGAAAAGTTATCATCAGATATAAAAATTGAATATAGTAAATATTCACCAGAACTTAAACGTGCAAATGAATCAAGCAGACGAAATTTCAGTTTTAATAGTAAATTTGAGAAGAATACTGAATTTTCTCAAAATCAACGTAATCTTCCAGATTTAGATGAGATATCAGTTAGTCAATTAGAAGAGTCAATTCAAGAAGATATATCATATGATTATGAAGAGAACAATGAACTTGAGCAAGAAAATGTTATTACAGATGAAACAGAGATTCAAGATAACACCGATTCTGACGATGATCAAAATGTAGAAGATACAACCTCAACCACTCCACGATTTCACTCTAAAGTAAGATTTCTTTGCCAATGGATATTTTTAAAGATTTATTAACGCCAAATTTAAAAAAGTTAAATAATGTATAAGAATAGGTAAAATAGGCCATTCCTGGATGAGTGTTTTGTTTGATTCTAAGTGTTTTACAGTGAAATTCCCATTTGATCATCATCAGCATAAAATTAGGCAATATACACTAAATCTATAGTCAACTGGTGAATATTATTCATATTCAATTCTCAGGACCATATAAAATACTCATTCTGAATGGTCAACTGCAGGATAAAACTATCCAATAAGATTTTTCTTGACCACTCAGTAATGTGAAATAAAATTTGAAATCCAAAACTTCTATCTTAGCGGTTGATGACTTAAAATGTTGATTTCCGTTTAGGTCAGTTCCCAACAAAAGTATACAAGTGAAGTTTTACCAATTTCTCATAGTTTGCGATATATTGATCAGTTACAGTGTTGTATAGTTAGTTCCAAGTACCGACTGAATCCAAGCTACACGGATTTCTTCAGTGTTCATTACCTGTAATCTGTACTTTACCTGATGTCAGGAGGTTCACAGCAAATTGTAGAATTAGTCTTAAAGCAGAACTTGAGTACTGTGATAAAAGTTTGGCATAGTTGTGCAGTGTAAATTTACCAAACTTGAATTTACTCGCCTTCGTTAGACTGGCAAACTCTGCAGGCTTCATTAGGTGTTTCATTTCTGTTCGTATATGTAGTTCAAAACACTGGTCCAAATCATTATTATATATTACATGTTTGTTCTTATCATGCAGTACAAGATAATGGATTGTATTGGAGGCACGTTCCTTCTTCTAAGAAGAGGGGGTTATCATAAAAGACATCATCGCGAAAGTTGTTGTCTCTGAGATGATGGTTTGGCCACTTGTTCTGGTCTTAACCTCGGTTTGCGCTTCCTGTTGGGTCGTGCAACTAACGGACTGAGGAAAATGCTTAACCCTGCTCCCAGGTGTTATTATTCTCCGGGTTGCGATGTTTGAATTAATCCTACAGCCAGGAACTTCACACCAACTGACCTACAAAGAAGACGAAGTTAGACTGCTAGCCCACATAATGCTGAATTATATTGTACGAAGTAAGACATAAAAATGTACAAGGCCTTGAAAGCATAGGCGTCATAATCAGAACGTCGACGAATGAAAACAAAGATACACACTTGACTGACATTTGCGTTTGATTGGTTTTTGTTCTCATCTTTGCATGCCTGTAGATACAACAGTAGTTTTAAGAGATGGGATAATCTTAAACTAATCTGACCGTAACATCCCTGAAGAAACCTGAGTGCAAGAACACTGGAACTCTTTAAAAGAGATGTGGAAAGAAACCTCCATAACCGTGTTAGGAAGGAAAAAGAAACAAGACAAGGAACGGATCTCGACGGAAACATGGAAGCGGATGGGGAGGGAGAGGAGCATGGAGATGGTCAGGCAGAAGATGAACCAGTGCAGTGCAGGAATGAACAACGAAAATTGAACTGAACACAACCCACAAAACACTGGACAAGGAAGTGAAAAAGAGTTCGCTCAAAGACAAAAGACACTTCTACAACACACTTGCAACTGAAGCAGAACAGGCTACTGGTAGGGGAGAGACAGAGACCTGACAACACTATATCAGATAACCAGGTTACTATCTAGGAAGAGATTAACACACATTAAACCAATGAAAGATAGTGAAGGAAACTTAGATACCATGAAGGAGAAACAAAGGAAACGATGGGATGACCACTTCAGAAAACTCTTGAATCGACAACCACCACATGCAATTCATCCACACATACCACCAGTATCCCAGCCACAGAACACAAGCCCTCAGACAAAAGTTGAAGTCCTGAGCATCATACAGCTACTGAAGTCCGGGGAAGCAGTAAGACCAGATGGAAGCAGGAAGCAGAAGCAGAGACAACAGCGGACATGCTCATACCACTATTGCAGAAGGTTTGGAAGGAAGGAATGAAAGGTACCTACCTATAGATTAAAGGAAGGGCTACCTTATCAAACTTCCAAAGAAGGGAGTCCTAAGTCTTTGCAAGAACTGGAGTGGAACCATGCTGCTGTTCATCCTAAGCAAGATATTAAGCGGCATCATCCCGGAGAGACTAAAACATGCTCTGGGTTCAAAATTACGACCGGGACAGGTTAGCTGGCTGGCTTCAGGGAGAACAAATCATGTTCGGGCCAAATTGCAACGCTACGCTACGCGTCATCATCATAGAACAGAGCGTAGAATGGTAGTCAACCGGATCTTTACCTGAACTTCATACATTTTGAAAAGGCCTTCTACAGTGTCGACTGAGAAGTGATTTGCGAGGCAGCCGCTTCAACTATACGGTTTTAGTGACACAAACATTTACTAACCTCATTTAACAGCTGTGTGCTATATGATGCTGCATATCAAGTCCTTCACAATGCAAAGCTCATTGATGCTTTTGAAGTGAAGACAGGAGTAAGATGAGTTTGCCACCTACTATCACTGATGATCTTCCTCATTGTGACCGACTGGACTGGACTGGACTGCATCATGCAACAAACTGTGAGGAGTGAGAATAGAGACATTAGCTGGCTGAACCGATGAAAAGACCCCAGAAGAAGTTTTGGATTTCGCCGATGATGATTTATGTGTAATGTCGCACAAACATTAAGATCTATAGGCAAAAACCAACAAGTTGACAGAAGAGACGAGGCGTGGCAGCAAACAGGGGACTTGCTTTAGGTGAACGTAGAGAAGACAGAGGTGATGATGATACCCAACTGACAACAACAAGCACGAATCACCGGGAACGGGAGGAACATAAAGGAAGTGGTCTCTTTCACCTACCTACCTACCTAGGCAGGCTGCATCGTCCCAACTACAGGCGGCACAGGCACAGGCACAGGTGATGATGTCAAAGTCAGCATCACAGAGACAGCAAGACAGGCCTTCCCTCATTAATCTGAAATAATCAGTGTGGAGATCTACTGTATTGCATTGCACTCAGCATAAACTGTGAACAACATCCGGATTTTCAACACCAGTTCAGTCAAGTAAGTCAGTGCTTCTATGTGATGGTTGAGAGACTTGGCGTGTTACGAAACGCACTTCCAACAAACCACAAACATACATGACATCAACGGCTGTCGCCTACTCTGATTCGATACTGACACTGAAGATCAGATGGATTGCCAGAACAATAAGAATAAACAAGTAGTAACTCTGGCTGGTGGTTGGCTGGTAAGGAACCAACCAAGGAAGAACCCATCGGTTAACAAATATGGAGGAGGAGAAAGTAGAGATGGATTGGACTGGGCATACACTGAGAAGACCATTTGGGGACATCATGTGTGAGGGCATGCCAGGTCATTGAGTGGAAGCCGCATGTGAAACGAGGAGTTGGGTGTCCGATGTGAGGGTGATATGGAGGAGATTATGTGAGAAAGAAATGAAAGTCTCTGGGCACTGATGGAGCCAGGTCAAAAAGACTGCAGAGAAGAGAGTGAAATGGCGAAGTGCTACTGAATCCCTATATTCCATTAGGAGTCTAAAGGACAGAAAATACTAATACTAATAATAATCCGACCGTATTCAAAAACTGTTAGAACAGACAGAAAGAGGTCTTATTAGTTAGCTTTTTCTATGGAAAGTGTGATATAACTGTCTTTCCTTAACCTTCGTCAAAGCTTTTGTCATTCACCTTTGACTGGTCGATTACTGACCTTATTCCAATGGTTATCATTATAATTTTATCGAAATTTTTATTTTTATCTAGTGTCTGAGACGACTGTTCGTCCGTATAAAACTTGGCAGTTATTAGTGATTTCGGCACTTTCCTGGAGTAATAAGTCTTTCTTTTCCAGTCGTGTCTTGTGTGTCCTTCCAGCAGTGTGTGAACAGTTATCCTTAGCGATCAGTAGTAGTTGTCGTGTGTTAGTGTTGTAGACGTATAACGACAGTTCCTAATTTGTAACCCAGTATTATTCGTTCACATCAACACCTAACGTATCATTACTTGAATATCCTTCTAGGCTGATCAACCTGATGACCACATCTTCAAATTTGATAGGCATTAATTCATTTGACAATAATCAGTTCCATGAACGTTTGCCTCAATGTTTTTATATGGAAGTTTCTAGAAATTCGATTGAATTCTTGGATAAAGTTTTCCATATTTTATAGTCAAATTTTCATCCACCAGTGTGCATAGACTGATCATAGAAAGGGAGGCATATAATACCGTCAATGACATAACACTTATGAACTGCAGGTACCGAAAAAAAAACTAGACAAACTGTTAGATAACCTAAGATTTGTGATTGTAACCTATTTGAAGTTTTCCATTGGTAACAAAACAATCTGCTAGAATGTTTAAAAACTTTGATCACATGCCAATAAGAAAATGGCAGATTGTAGTATCTTTTTAATCGCATAACGTGAATTATTAATAGTATAGTTGAACTCTAATTTAACAAAGTGTTTATCACAATGTTGTTGATTTTTACTAGCTGCTAAGACGTGATAGTATTGACTATTATCTTGAAGTCAATAAGTCACATGGTGGATTCATTGAATATGACAATTTTTCAGGTGTTGACAAACACCATGAAAAGATTGATGAAAGTAACAACCATACCACAAAACAACCAGATTCTACTGAAACCAATTTCAATGGAAAAGATGAAAAGAATCATAGAGAAGAAAGTGTAGAAGAAACGGATGAGGGAAATGATGAAGCTAAAGTTGGTGGAAGCGGTAGAGACTCAGCTATTGAGTCAACTCGAAATGATCATGAAGACGATGGGGAGGATGAGGACTATTCACATAAGCCTTCATTGACTGAAGTACTTTCACCGGCATTATGCGCTGCTGGTTATGGTCCAGTTGGCCATCTATTAACGAGATGGTTACCACAAAGAAATTTCTGTGAATTACTTATTGGAACAAATGAAAATTTCGGTAAGATGTGAATAATTCAAATTGTTTGATTTATCAACATTATAGTATAATCTTTAAAGCTCTTGGAATATGCTACTGCTTTACATACAATCAAAATCTAGGGAGTAAGTAAGTTCTTAAAAAACAGCGGTATGTAAAATCAGGATCTCATGTAGATTTTTCAAGAGATGAATGGAAAATTCGAATAAGGTATAGAAGTGTAACGATTAGTTGTTGATAAGTTCTCATCTAGACTGTAGATAGGTACGTTGTCGCAGTGGGGCGAGGGGGGGGGCGCAGAGCAGTGTAAGTTTGGTGGTGACCACAAGAATCTGAAAAAGAAAAAAAGAAGTGGAGAAAGGTGAGCCGATGACTCAGCGAGTACATAGCATGCACTTACATTTAATAATAATAATTGATAAACAGTAGAGCTAGGCAACGAAGAGGTTAGGCAAAACTCTAAGGTGAATGAGTAAAATTTCGAATACGCTACAAAGTTTTGGTTAGTGAATTCCATCTTTTGTAATTGAACCATAAAGTGTGTTCCAGAATTGGTAGATTTTTCACGAATTAAGTAAACATATTGACTACTATCACTATTATTTATCCTTTAGGTTCCTAGTGGAACATAGGGGTTCAGTAGCACGTCTCCATTTCACTCTCTTCTCTGCAATCTTTTCAACCTGGCTCCACAACTGCCCACAACCTCTCATTTCATCCTCCCACACATGACCTCTTCCATGTCAACCTCACCTCCGACACCCAACTCGTCGCTTCCCATCTGGGTTCCAATCGAGGGACTGGCCTGACACGTGATGTCCCCAGCAGGCTTTCTCAGTGTACACCCAATCTATCTCCACTTCCTTCCAGTGCATATTTGTTCAGCGATAGCTTCTTCGTTGGTTGGTTCATTGCCAGAGTGAGTTCCTTGTTGCTTATTGCTATTATTCTGGCCATCTGATCTTCAGTGTCAGTAACGAGCCAGCGAAGGCAGTTGTTGATGAATGTCTGTGGTTTATTGGAAATGCTTTTCGTGACGCGCCAAGTCTCTTAACCATTACATAGAAGCACTGACTTACTTGACTGAATTGGTGTTGAAAATCAGGATATTGTTGACTCTTTATTCTGAGTACAATGTAGTTGATCTCCACACTGGTTTCAGGCTAATGAAGGATGGCCTGTCTTGTTGTCTTTCCGATCCTGGCTGCTTTGACGTGCTCGTCTGTGCCTGTGGCGCCTGTAGTTGAAACTATGCTGCCTAGGTAGGTGTAGGTGTAGATGTAGATGTAGGTGAAAGAGGCTAGATCCTTTAAGTTTCTGTTGTTGATGGTGATTGGAGCTTGTTATTGTTGGTGTTGTTGGTTGGGTATCTTCATCACCTCTGTCTTCTCTACATTCACTTGAGGTGCCGCCTTCGCCGCCTCGCCTCTTCTGTCAGCGTGTTTGTTTTTCCTGTAGATCTTCAAGTTTGTGTGACATTAGACACAAGTCATCGGTGAAATCCAAATCTTCCAGGATCTTCTCCCCGGTCCAGCCAGCGTATCCCCCTCTTCTCACTCCTCACTGTTTATTGCATGATCCAGCCCAGTCCACCACAATCAGGAAGATCATGGGGGATAGTAGGCTGCAACCTTGTCTTACTCCTTCCTATTTTCACTTCAAAGGCATCATTGAGGTTCCCATTGTGAATTACTTGGCATGTTGCGTCTTCATATAGTTGTTGAATGAGGTTGATCAAGGTTTGTGGCACAAAAACTGTAGTGTTGAAGCAGCTGCTTGGCGAATTACTTCTTGGTTGACGCTGTCGAAGGCCTTTTCAAAGTCGATGAAGTCGAGTTGAGGTAAAGAGTTGACTCTCATTCTATGCCCTGTTCTATGATGATGCGCAGTGTAGCGTTGCAATTTGGTCCGCATATGATTTGTACTTCCTGAAGCCTGCCTGTTTCGGTGGTGGTTTTGAATCCAGCGCATCCTTTAGTCTCTCCAGGATGATGTGGCCTAATTACTTGCTTGGGGTGGACAGGAGCGTGATTCTGCACCGGTTCTTGCAAAGACTTAGGTCTCCTTTCTTTGGGAGTTTGACAAGGTAGACCTTCTTCCAACCTGCAGGTACCTTCCCTTCTTCCCAGACCTTCCGTCCTTTTGAGTTGAACCTTGCTATTGTGATCCTGGAAGAGATTGGTTCCCATTGAATGAGAGCCTGCAATGCTCTTGAGGACATCATGATAGCCACTCCCTGTGTGTATTCGTGGTTGTCGTCTGGGTGACCGGAACAGGTTATTGACTCTGCAGTTGACAGTTTATAGAAACATCTATCCCCAACTAATTAGCTCCAAATGTCTTTTTTAAAATGAGTTCAATTTGTAAACCATACACGCCGGATATAATGAAGTGTCGTGATCCTCCATTTTCTTAACTACTGATATGATAAAAAAGGAACCAAATTGCGCAGAAAATCCTGAAAACTACTTGACACTAACTTAGTGAGTAGCTTCAAGAGCTGATCCGTTAGGTTCTAAAGAGAAGTCTTCACCGATGGGACAAACCTAGTTGCCGTGACGAGAAATACTCAACGCTGACATTGGATAGAGGTTGCAATATATCGTGAACTGACAGAACTTGGAAATATGGACGACTAAATTTCAACCTAGTGTCTCAATGGTAACGTGCTGACCACGAAACCTGAAGGTTTTGGGTTTGATCCCTGTCGGAGTAGGATCGTGGGTGCACACTGCTGAAGAGTCCCATACAAGTGGGACGAAGCAGTTGTCTAGTACCCCGAGGGTTCCATTGTCTCTCCAACTAACATCAGTCTGTGGTAAAATACCAACCTGAAACCACTAAATCACCACAAATCCCCAAATTAAATTCCTTAATAATAATCGCTTTATTCGAAACAATGCGTTTTATGCACTAAGGAATTCTCAGCAAGTTCACCAACAGAACAATATATTCAACCAAAATGTTTACTACATCCCAGTGATATTACTAATAACTCTAATGAAGGCAATAATGTTGAATAATCCGGTGTTGTCGGATTATCTTCCGATCTAAAATGGAGGATGTACAGAAGAACCAACGTAAATTTGGTGATGTGGTAGTGCTTATTAAGTCAACACCTAACACATGCAGCAACAGGAATCACTCAGCACCTATTCCGAATAGATCGAAGGAAAATCTTACTACCAATCTCACAAAGGAGGCGAGGGAATTAGGACTAAGCATACAAAGGATGTCTCAAAGTTGTACAGTTATCTTGCTTGATATGACTATGAACAATAAATTATGTCCAAAACTTAATCCAGTAAACAAGACTGTTCCTTCACTGTGTGATAAATCTAATAAATCAATAAATTGAATTTTGAGGGAGTTGTGCAGATTTGGAAATATTTCAAGTTGTTATTCATCGTAGACTGACATCAGTCGAAGGAACAAAGGGAACCTGGGAGCACTGAACAACTGTTTCGTCTTAGTATGGGACTGGTGCTCATTAGCGACTACCTTCGGGAGGTATTCCCGAAGTTCCAATGAGAAGTCGTGACCGGTGGGGCAAAGCCTGATGGTGGTGAGGACAGTCACTAAATGATGACATTGGGTAGCGGTTGTGCTATATCGTCAACAAAATAAACCAGCAAACCGGAATATACAAGCTAAAAGAAATGAACAGATGGTGAATAGATGAGTACTAATAAAAGAGGGAACAAGGTTCATCAAAAGAGAAAAATCTTTTCTGATGACTACATACATACATACATACGTATAAGAAGGTAGCACAGAGTCATGAAAATACTGACACCGGTCATTGCGAAATAACCCACAAGGTGATGAACACATAGAATTCAGCAAAGTGTAACTGACACCTCCCAGCGAGCAGTGTCTCAATGAACTTTGAAATACTTCCTCAACAGGTCTTATGGATACGTCTATTTGATGTTTGAACATTCATATCATGCCCCATTTCAATAATATGTCTAGCTATTGAAGAGCTCGAAGGTTTGTTTCCAACATCGGTTGAGTCAGACGACTAGATTTGTTTCTGAATCTACTTTGTGATGTGTTCTATGGCCTATATTTTCAAACACCAGTGAGTCCTCCTTATACTTGCGTGAACACACGTACATTTGATTTGGTGAATACAATCGGATATGACTTCATACTTCACCTATTTCAAGGGATTCAATGAGTATACTGACTTCGAAGTTTCAATTATCCGAACCTTAGCTGCATAATATGTTTTATTGATGGTAGGGTTAAGCTTCTGTCTGAATACTAAGCTATTTGTATCATCAGTATACAGTAGATTGATTAACACATCTTTCCTAGGGACAAAATAGACAGTATCTTTCAATGGTCTGTCCACTTGATGTTGATTTATAAATTTTGATGGGTAGTTATTCTCGATCAACGGCCCCGTTAATTATCTTGTCTTATATTTCAACTTATCAGCTGTGCATATTCATTAATAATTTAAATACTACCATGTCTAAGTTGGCTTTCTATAACTAGATCAACTTAATGATTCATCTTCCTGTCAACTGATCAACACACCCATGAATGACAGGCAGTTATCGTTCTCTTCTACACTTCTTAAAGATATACTATTCTTTACTACTTTCATTCGAATCAGAAATGAAGTAGCACAACACTGAACATCACTAATGATTAAGATATCATTGATATATATAGATATATATATCTTAGATAAAAACTGAAAATTTTCAATTTAATCCTCAGATAACTTTTCAACACATGACATTAAAATATTTGCTGAAAGAAGACTAAAGTGGCTTTGCATAGAAACACCATGAATATGACGAAAATATTCACCATCAAATGTAAACTTTATATTGCTAGTGTATAAAAGTAATAAACGTTCTAAGTAAGGGACTCGTGTTGAAAACTTCTCAACTTAAATGTACATGTGGTCACAAACACATAGAGAGAACTCATTGGTCACTGAAAATATGGGCCACTGAACACATTCCAAAGGAGATTCAGAGATAAACTGTTATTATTATTTTTGCCTTGGGTTCCTAGTGAAACGTAGAGCTTCAGTAGCACGTCTTCATTCCACTCTCTTCTCTGCAGTCTTTTGAACCTCGCTCCACGACTCCCCACAAGTTCTAATTTCTTCCTCCCTCACATAATCTCCTCCATGTCGCCCTAGCCTCGAACGCCCAACTCGTCGCTTCCCATCTGCATTCCACTCAAGGGCCTAGTGCATGATGTCCCCGAACGGTCTTCTCAGTGCATGCCCAATCCATCTCCACTTCCTTCCAGTGCATATTTGTTAAGCAATAGGTTCTTCGTTGGTTGGTTCTTTGCCAGAGTGAGTTCCTTGTTGCTTATTCTTTCTGGCTATCTGGTCTTCAGTAGTGAGCTAGCGTAGGCATTTGTTGATGAATATCTGTAGTATGCTGGAAATGCTTTTCGTAACGCGCCAAGTTTCTAAACCATAAAGCAGCACTGATTTGACGTTAACGTTGAAAATCCCGATCTCGTTCTTTGCGCTGAGTACAGTAGATCTCCACAGTGATTTCAGATAATTGAAGGAAAGCTTGTCTTGCGTTTCCGATCCTGGTTTTGACATTCTCGTCTGTGCCGCCTGTAGCTGAAACGATGCCGACTAGGTAGGTGAAGGAGACTACTTCCTTTAGGTTTCTCCCATTGATGGTTATTGGTGCTTGTTGTTGTTGCTGGTGGTGGTGGTTGGGTATCTTCATCACCTCCGTCTTCTCTACATTCACTTGAAGTCTCATTTTCGCTGCCCTGCATATTCTGTCAACTTGTTAGTTTTCGCCCGTAGATCTTCTAGTTTGTGTGACATTAGACACAAGTAATCATCATCGGCGAAATCCAAATCCAAATTAGATTCAGAAATGAATAGGGTCGCCTAACCCAAGTGATGCTGGAAACAAACGTCCCAGCTCCTCAATGGTTAGAAATATTATTAAAATGGGGCATAATATGGATGGTCAAATGTCATCTAGGCGCATCCATGAGACTTATCAGGGGCTTTTTTTAGAATTTGTTAAAGCACTAACCGTCAGGAGGTTTACGCAATATACCCGTAATTTCGCATACCCTTTGCCTCGTGTTCTGCCTATGATCTTAAAATAATCTACATGGCCGTTTTCACGCCGTTACTAGTTTTTCTTCTCTCTGCTCCCAAGGCCCAACTCTCATTGGTTGTTTACTATGTGTGGATTTAGTGTTATCAAGGTCATTTAGAAATGTATATAATCAGCATCGTTGTCAACTGTATTGACTGCTGTTGAGAGAGCAATAGCTGTTCGTCAACTGTCTCTGTCCTTTCGTCTTCTCGCGTCGATGGTATTGTTGTTGTGGTGATGGTTGACGTTTGCGGTTTGTGTTAGAATTGATTCGTTACGTGTTAGGTTTGTATCGTTCGTAGAGTGGTTAGATCATAATACCGGTCATAGCAGTTTAAGCCACTTTTATGCTTTCAAAAATAAGGTGTACATCTTATGTAGAGTTAAAGAACCATGGTATGGTGTCTACTTGGCAGGCGACCAAAGTAACAATGGTGGAATGGTTGTCAATGACGAAATTGACCAGAGCTTCTGTTGTGTACAAGTTACGGAACCACTTGGCTTGTATATGACGACAATCTTAAAAGATGACTATGATGGAGGGACGTAACGAAAACTGACTGGCTCTTCTAATACCGAAGTGTTTTTCGATTTCCTCTCTCCTGTTGACAAAGTAGCAGGATAACATTCTGAAATGTTTTTGCTACACATAAGCATGTAAACTTATAAAAACACGCTGAGGTGCCCAAAGCGATAACTTATCTCAGATACAATAACAAATTGATTAAGAAGGAAAATATATAAGTAGGGGTGACCAGTTTCGCCACAATGACCCAAAGTACTTAGCAGATAGTCTGACCAACTCACTGAGTTCAGATCATCAAACCGACTGGAATAACTTGGTTTAACTGTATAGAATTTTATCCTTACCATCAATATAACTAAATTTGTATATATGATTGATTGACCACAACTTGAACAGTTGACTGACTGGTCATTTGAATGGTTATCAGTGTGATTTTAATTGATTTATTGGATTGATCACACAGCTGAACAGAGGACGCACGTTATCGTCCATAGTCATATCAGGATAGCTCTACAACTTTGAAACATGCTTTATATAGTTCTAATTCTCTCACTCCCTTGTGATATAGGTAGTAGGATTTCCCACATATCCAGAACAGGTGCTAACTCATTTATTTTGCGCGTTTTCGGTGTTGATTCTCTAAACACCGATCCGGTCATCGATCTCCTCCTCTAATCTGCTGAGTTAGTTTGACGGCTCGTTGTTCTGTCCCATCCTGTTGTGTAGTTGTATGTAACTGAATCCATAGTTATGGCTAAGCTTTCTTCTAGACTTCTTATCTTACTAGAATCCACCAATTTTGATTTAGCTAGGTTTTTGTGTTCAAATAGCGAAACGTAATCTACTTAACTATGAAGTAGTATTCATCATGAACTGACATCGGTTGAGGAATCGCTGGAAATCCGGGAGCACTAGATAGCTCATTCGTCCTGGTATGGGACTCCTTAGCAGTACGTATCCATCATCCCAGCGGGAGGGGGTCGAACCCAGGATTCCCGCGTCCCACGGCGAACGCGTTAAAAGCAGCCACTGGGTCGGTCTATAATGGTTCGCAATTTCCAAGTTCTGTCAATTCACGACATAGCGCGACTATCACCTAAGGTCTTCAGTTAGCATCCGCTTCACTTCCGACTGGTTGACACCACAGGTCACGGCTTCTCATTAGAGGTTCATGATATTCATCCGGAAGCAAGTTACAAAAGAGAAAAATCTTTTCTCATGACTACGTACGTACATACATACGAATAAGAAGGTAGCACAGAGTCATGAAAATACTGACACCGGTCATTACAAATTAACCCACAAGGTGATGAACACATAGAATTCAGCAAAGTGTAACTGAAACCTCCCAGCGAGCAGTGTCTCAATAAACTTCGAAATACTTCCCCAATAGGCCTTATGGTTAGGTCTATTTTCCCCACATCCAGAGCAGGTGTTAAGTCATTTCTTTTGCATGTATTCAGTGTTGATTCGAATGTATTTTTGAGATGAATGGGGATTTTTTTTTAACTGTGTGATACATCTAATAAATCAATTAAAATGAAATCAGATTCTTCTATCATAGACTTCAAGTTTTACTTCAATTAGGAATTATTTCTCTTCGTCTATTAGATACCTCAGAAGACGCAAAATGGTGTAGAAGAAAACAGTTACTGAAGGAACTAGCAAGAACTGTAAGTTCAGAGTTTTTTTCATTTATTTACTGTATAACTAACATCATCTTGCAGCTTATATGATTCAGATCAATATATGAGTGGTGGAAACCCAAGGCTGTAATTCCATGTAAAACCCCAGAATGAAGACATAAGAAAAACAGAAAAATAATATACTGAAACGTTAATATACTAAAGGAAAGGTATTGTAATGAAACTTATTAACTAACAAAGTCAAACGGAATGAATAATACTTTCGCAGATATCCGGATTGAAAAGTTACCTAGTCGTGTTAAAAAAAGTTGAATAAACGTGATATATTATGAAAATCCTAATGAAGTAGAAAGGAAATTTATGATGTTTACGTAATCCAGAATACCAATTCTCCAGTAGGAACTCTTCAATATACATTTTGTTAATAAATATTACTACTTAATAATAGCAAGTAGTATAAAATTATAACGGTCAAAACACCGTGAGGGATTAACAAAGAAAATAATTGACTTGTATAGGAAATTCAGGAAATGAACACAATCCTACAGCATATCATTCGGAACCATTTACATTAACTTCACCTCTTCTCCACTCATTAATGGCAAGTGAGATGCTTCAAACTAATCGTAAATGGTGAATAGATTTGCTGGAATAGTGAAGCAGGTTCTGTTAAGATCAACCGACCTAATGTTAGAAGCTTAGGTTTGTTACAACTAATGGTAAACAATTTACTTGACATGTTCCTCACACTGAAGTTTATATTTATTTCTAAAATCAGAATCATAGCGGTGAATATTTTACTTGAACTAAAGGTGAACCGCTATTATTATTATTATTTTTTATTCTTTGTCCCTTGGGTTCCTAATGGAACATAAGGCTTCAGCAGCACGCCTCCAGTGAACTCTGTTCTCTGAAATCTTTTGAACCTGGCTCCACAACAGCCCATAACCTCTCATTTCTTCCTCACACCTTCTCCTCTATCTCACCCTCACCTCCGACGAACAGATTCTGATTCACGTACACTCTCCAACCACCAATTTCGGTTATCACGTGAATCCCAAACGGGAAGTCTACATCTCTCCACACGACACACACTAACAACAAGAGATGTTCTTGACCGACGCTTTGTTCGAGTTTCGACGCCTCTGAGCATTTTACAGCTGGAACCTACTTCAGTTAATATTGCAAGACAAAGTGGTTGGTGATAAGGCTCGCATAACACACATGGTCAAGTTGATGACTGACTCTCGTCTTTCTGCTGAAGCTCTAGACCTAACTTCTGCGTCACTAACTTGGTCGCATACGGCCTATAGTATGAACGCGACGGTAGTCAGACACCTAGAATCTTTCCATGTTTCATAACTATGTAGTAGAAGAGGATGAACTGAAGCTCAGCACACTCAACTATTACTAGGCTATCAGATATCATGTTGGCGCCACACATGCCTTAAGTTGTCGAAAATCAAACCAGCTCATCAAGCCCGATCCAAATTCCCAGGTAAGTGAAGCATTCAGCCGACTCAAAAAATTCACTCCCTACTGTTAAACAAAACACCAGAGAAGTCCTGTCTTGGAGCAATAATTTGGATTTCTCTAAGACATTTAGTGTGTATTCAGAAGACTCTGTTCAGGCGCAGACTTACGTGCGTTTGGAATAAAGTGTGATAGTAGTTCAAGTATGAGTGACTATCTTCCACCGACCCTCTCCATCGATAACTGAGACCATTATGGTCTATCTGTGTCCACCACTGAGTTGAAGTCAGTGGACGCCAAGTCAGACAATATCTGTCTTTATGTATAAGGTTAGTGCTGGTCAAAAACAGGTGGTTGACTGAGCTCGACTGTAGCATGTGGTCTACGCTATCTTTTCGTTCTGCTGGGATTCTGACAGTACCTTTCTGCATGACTTAGACGTACCCTAACAATTCGTGCATTGATGTCACCTGTTGTAAGAATCATATCCGAATATTTGGCTTTCAGTACGAGGCTAGGTAGTTCTCTGTAGAACTCATCCTTCACTTCATCCTAAATGAAGTCATTGGGTGCCCAAGCAGATAATGTACAGAGACAACAGTGATTTTCACCGTTCTTCCCGCTCTTGACGCAGCCGTTCAGTGGGAAAGTACATAGGTGACTATCAGCTGCGATCCAACCGAGCAGTACACTTCCTGCCTTAGTACTTAATGATATGCCTAGTCAAGAAATTCTAGGAAACTCGTAGGGGAATTTCGCAGATTCACAACATTGGCCTGGTAGAACCAAGTGAATAACCACACTAAGGTCCCACATGCATGTCTCACAAGCATAAATGACGTCTAAGGACCGAGATATCAGAGTTTCAGGCAGTAAAGCTACTTGTGCGACTTGTTGGAAGGTTGGGATATTTTAGTCTTTGATGTGTAGTGTGTACAGCGGTTTCAAAAGAATAGAGGTGCTATCACAGGAACTGGAATTATTATTGAAACCTGCAGAGCTGGAACAAATTTAAAATGATGCAGATATACTCACTAAGAGAGGTGAGGAAACGTTAAGAAAGCAAAGATTTAGAAGGTTGACAATGATGCAAAACAACTTGAGTTTTGATAGAGTTGCAAGGAAGATTGAGGTTTCTTGGCTGACAACAACGTGGAAGGTTACTTCTTTTTGAGGTACCTAATAAAGAAGTTGGGTTGACAAAAGTGGTGAGAACATAAAGCCCACGAGGCACGAGGTCGGTCAAATGCGGCCTTTTCAGTTGATTCAGTCCCAGCTGGAAAACTCATGACACCAGTACCAGAAGACCATAGGGGAAGGAGTGTGCTATTTTTCGGCCTGACCTCTTCTAATGCCCCTTTTCTATGAGGATGGTGGAATCAACATGGTTCTACCAGTTATCCGTTTGAACCACCTTACCTCTGTCACATCCCATACAGTCAGCAGTACAGCTTCGCCCTTGGACCGTATCATAACGTAGTAATTTATACAATAATGTTAACTGCGTTTTTTCTTACCACTACTCGGCAGACTCTTCTGGGGTGACAGGACATTGAGAGAGCAAGTGTTTCACTAGCATTGCTCCTTGGGTCATTTCGATCTGCGAGGCTGACCATCATGTCAAGGTAGCAGCTATCGACAAGTGTCACTAGACTTGACTCTGTAATCTTGCACCTTCATGATAAGCAAGTTGTTATGAGGCCTCGTAATAGAAATCTGATCAGGAAAAACTATTCTTAGTATTAATGATGGATAGTGGCCACCAGTAGAATCCATGGTACCCAACCACTCCCTTTTAGGACTGGGCAACTGTACCCACTTGCCTCCCAGTGAGCGATTTTGTTCCCACTGAGACACGAACTCAGGACTGATCGCTTCAACCCCCAGGGAGTTATCCACTACGCCACCACCCCAGGATACTCAACCTTTGTGTGACAGGTATAGTTTCTATGATGTTGCTTGATTCTTCGTATTTCAAGTTAGCAATGAGAATTTCTTAACCAGTTATCGGATCTTTCAAATCATCAGCTTTAAAAATAATGCAACTGTTGAACTAATACCTCAACTTTTCAATTATACTATGTCTTCAGTCAAGCTGTCCAGACTTGGTGAAATTAATACCCAGCTTTAACTAGGATAGTGAGAAAGTGATTACGCAACACTCTACACATGCATGAAAATGAGTCGTTAAGGCTAATCCGGCTGTCATTTGACTGCTTGATGTGTAACTATCCGTTGATAGTAATCATACTATCTGTTCAGTCAGCGACTTCTGAATCCAATCCAAATCGAGTTGAATTACGATGAACGTACAGTTACATATCATATAACTACAAGACAAGTGGACAGAATTCTCAGTGACTGAAATGACGCTAAGACCCGATCAGCAGCTGGGTTTCATAACTCGGTTGATAGAGCGTCAGCCAAGTAATCTACGTGTCGGTGATTAGAATCTGACAGAGGACCAGGTTTCCATCACACCTTTATCTACCACTTCGTATCAACAATGCCAGTCTGTCAAATCATGGCTGTCTTGGACAGTCTCAAAGACGACGCAATGAAATTTATGACAGCCTATGATAATTTCAATAAATCCTTTTTTCGTCATGAACAATGTTATGAACGAATCCTCATCTGATTGGTCAATTAGGTTCCAGACAAACTTGAGCGTGATTGGTCGAAAAATGATGCAATAATACTATTCGCTGATATTTCTCTGATTTAATATATAAACTATCGAGCAACAAAATATATTCTGTTGTGCGTTGTACATCGAATGACCAACTGCATTATAGTTAAGTTAGTCATTCCAGCATACTTTGCATAATTCGGATATTACTCAAAATTATCTGTGCATGTATTCATATCATTCGCATGAAACAGGATTTTAATTATTTCTTAGTATTACTATGAAAATGCCGTACAGATTGAATATAACAGGTAAACTGATGATCATTCACTAATTCCTTTGTCCTATTTATCACTTTTTAGTCTACTATGTACACAGAAGATATGACGCATGAAATGTTCATGTTACGTTTCTCGGAATTTGTTGAAGTACAAGAACTGGAACCGTGTGATCGAAGCGCTGATAAGCCATGGATTCGACTAACTCCTAAAGATAAGGTGAGGTTATGATAAACTGAGAACAATACTGCCACGTTTTCATCAATAATTTTTGATTTCTTTGATAACGGAAAGGATAATATATCTCCCTTGATATATTAAGATAGATAGATATCTAGCTAAATGGAGGCAGTGTGTTCAAGCACAAGGATATCCACAAAGCGAGCGACATGGATTTCACCAGACACGAGACATACTAAAAATCAGATCGACTTTATCTCAATCTGAAGAAAGTGGAGACGCAGTCAGCCTACTTGACGCAAGGTCAAGAAGAGGAGTAGATGTAGTTTCAGACCACTATCTAGTGCAAGGAACCTTCCAAATCAAGTTAAAAGCCTTCAAGGAAGCTGGTGATAGACCACAGTTCAAGTACAACACTCGGAAAGTGAAGGGTGAAACTACCAGGGAAATCTTCACGACAGTCAGCCATCCAGACAAAGTGGAAGATATCGAGCAACATCCCTGAAGAAACCTGTGTGGAAGAACACTAGAAGTCTTTGAAAGAGATGTGGAAAGAAACCTGCACAACCGTATTAGGAAGGAAGAAAAAAGAAGATTAGGAATGGATCTTAATGGATACATGGAAGCTGATAGAGCGGGGACAGGAGGATGGTGAAGCAGAAGATAAACCAGTGCAAGGATGCTCAACGACAAGAGAAACTGAGTACAATGTATAAAACACTGGAGAAAGAAGTGACGAAGAGTGCACGGAAATACAAAAGACACTTCTACGAAACACTGGCAAGTGAAGCAGAACAGGCTGCAGGTAAGAAAGACCTGACAATATTGTATCAAATAACCAGGTTACAGTTTATCTGGGAGGAGATCAACGCAGACAAAACCAATAACAGATGATGACAGAAATTTAATTACGAAAGAAGAGAAACAAAGAAAACGATGGGCCGACCACTTCAAAAAGCTCTTGAATCGACCACCACCACCACCACCTGAACTTCGTCCAGAAATACCACCTACAGACGCTGAACTACAAGCGAACATAAATCCTTCAACAAAAGTGGAAGCCCTGAATGCCATAAAGCTACTGAAATGTGGGAAAGCAGCAGGACCAGATGGGATCCCGCCAGAAGCACTCAGAACAGACACAGAGACAACAGACGACTAGCTCACACCACCATTGCAGAAGGTTTGGAAGGAAGTAAAGGTACCTCCCCGTTGACTGGAAGAAGGGGTCCCTTGTCTAACTCCCAATGAAGGTAGACCTGAGTCCTGGCAAGAATTGGTGCGGAATCACGCTCCTGTCCACCCCAAGCAAGTAATTAGGCCACATCATCCTGGAGAGACTAAAGGATGCGCTGGATTCAAAACCACCACCGAAACAGGCAGGCTTCAGGAAGTAAAAATCATGTGCGGACCAAATTGCTACGCTTCGCATAATCATAGAACAGAGTATAGAATGGCAGACGACTCTCTACGCCAACCTCATTGACTTTGAAAAGGCCTTCCACAGCGTCGACCAAGAAGTAATTCGCCAAGCAGCTGCTTCAACACTACAGTTTTTGTGCCACAAACCTTTATCAACCTCATTCAACAACTATATGAAGACGCAACATGCCAAGTAATTCACAATGGGAACCTCAATGATGCCTTTGAAGTGGAAATAGGAAGAAGTAAGACAAGGTTGCAGCCTACTATCCCCCATGATCTTCCTGATTGTGGTGGACTGGGCTGGATCATGCAACAAACAGTGAGGAGTGAGAAGAGGGGGATACGCTGGCTGGACCGGGGAGAAGATCCTGGAAGATTTGGATTTCACCGATGACTTGTGTCTAATGTCACACAAACTCGGAGATGTACAGGCAAAAAGTAACAAGTTGACAGAATATGCAGGGCAGCGAAGATGGGACTTCAAGTGAATGTAGAGAAGACAGAGGTGATGAAGATACCCGAACAACAACAGCATCAACAACAAGAGGCACCAGTCACGATGAACGAGAGGAACTTATAGGAAGTAGCCTCCTTCACCTAACTAGGCAGCATTGTTCTAACTACAGGCGCAACAGGCACAGACGAGGACGTCAAAGCCAGCCAGGATCGGAAAGATAGCAAGACAGGCCATCCTTCATTAACCTGAAACCAGTGTGTGGATCTTCTGCACTCAACATAAAGCATGAACAATATGCGGATTTTCAACACCAAGTCAGTCAAGTAAGTGTTTCTGTATGGCTCAGAGACTTGACGCGTTACGAAAGAGATTTCCAACAAACTACAGATATTCATCAACAACTGCCTACGCTTACTCGATACTGACACTGAAAATCAGATGGCCAGAATAGTAAGAATAAGGAATAAAGAACTCTGGCTGGCTGGCAACGAACCAACCAACGAAGAAGCTATCGCTGAACAAATATGCACTGGAAGGAAGTGGAGATGGATTGGGCATACACTGAGAAGGCTGACTGGGGACATCACGCGTCAGGCCAGTCCCTCGATTGGAACCCAGATGGGAAGTGACGAGTTGTTCGTCGGAGGTGAGGGTGAGATGGAGGAGAAGGTGTGAGGAAGAAATGAGAGGTTGTGGGTAGTCGTGGAGCCAGGTTTAAAAGATTGCAGAGAATAGAGTGGAAGGAGATGTGCTACTGATTCCCTATGTTCCATTAGGAACCCAAGGAACAAATAAAATATAAAAATATCTAGCTAAATAATAGGATAACGTCTATATTTGGTTTAATCAGCTACGTTGCTCGTTTGAATTCAGTAGTTTCGATTATTAGCTATGCCAGAACGAATGTTCAGAGTCAGTCATCAATAAAACAGTTGATGCAACTTCTTCCTACAGAAAATGAATTAACACGGGAAATAGAAAGATAAAACAATGGGGTTAAATGCTAAGTATATTTATAATCAGCATACTTCTATGTACTTTGATGATGAAACAATCACTAGTGTTATTTAAGGAGTGGAAAAATTATAATATATCGTTTGATTCATACAAGAAATATCAGCATTTCTTAATTTTTTTTAATGCTCACATATCTAACCTAACGTAATGGTCCAAAACTTTCACGATCCATTTTTACCTACTAAATAACATTTAAGTAGGCAAAGTACAATTTCAGTAAATCTCACTTTTGTTATCATTTAGGCACTCATTCGTAGAGAGCTGAACGATTACAAAATGGCTGAAATGGATGTACATCAAGACAGCCGTCAGTTTACCAGGTAAAACATTTTTCCCTACACATAGATAATTTGACATCATGACCTATGACTAGATGATTAAGTGTTTTTATGATGACATGAAATGAACACACTTAGGTTTGGTAGACATATCCTTAGAATTGCTACATTCTATGAAATAGATCTCGAAGTTTTGAAGTAAACTAATTACCTGCGATACTGTCTTTTAAGTTACACCAAATTATGGACTGAATCAGGCCCAAAGTAGGATTAGTTCAATTATATCAACCAATGGGTAAATTAAATGACCCAGTTATCTATTTAGCACTATGTTCATGTCTTCTTGGTGTCAGACAGAACAACATATACAGGTACAACTCCAAGTTTTCAATAACTAGTACAACAAGCTGCTTATAACACTGAGTTCATGACCAGTAAAGCTCATAATTAGCAAGTGACGGTATAAGCAGCCAGTTACAAAGTTCTATGCTCCATACTTGGAAACTCTTGTCCTTTAGAAAAACAATGAGACCATCAGCAGTAAGTGTTTGGCCTTTACATAGAAAACTCTGAGGTCTAATATCTGAAAAAAACACTAAACAACATCTGTTCAATACTATATGAGTAGTATAAGTCTTACTGACCCAGAAGTTATTTTTGGCGAGGGCGACTGACAACATTAGGAGCAGTAGTCATTATGGTTTTTTCAGCATACTTGCTTTTTATTCTCAATTACTAATTAAGACCATCTATACAAAACTAAATGAAGCTGGAAGACATGATGGGATTAGTCGGTGGGGCCAAAGTGACAACGACATTTTGGATAGGAGAATTACTTATCATATTATAGATACTGGGGTAGTGATTAAAGGTGAAATGAAAATTTTTACGACGGTTGGTTCCAAACCAGAGACCACCGAGTTGCCGATGGTTCGAATGCAGCCGTGGTACAAATTTTCATTTCACCTTCAATCATTGCCCAGTATAAATACTAGTCAGCCAAACCATAACTATCTAAGATAATCAGAATGACATTATAGGAAAGTTTTTCTTTTTTGAGGGTCTGCCTATAAACGACACAACGACACATATCCATCCATGTTAAGATCACAATAACAGTCATACAATTCACCTATTTTTTTTAAAGGAACAAGTAATAGATAATAGTTATTTTGACTAGAAAGCTGATTTTGTTTTATCAAAGGAAGGTGGATATTTTGCGTTCATTTTAAATAGCTTTCAAATTACTCATTTTCATACTATGATGGATATCATTTTCTCTCGATAGCTAATTCATTGAACAAAGATAGATGTGATTTGTTTTACTAAGTCATTTGTAACCAATCACCGCATCAATAGCCAAGATTTGAACAGAAATAATAAAGCTATTTTGTTTATAAAACAGTTTAAATAAACGTAAAGATGGATAATAGCTAGCAGTAGAATCCAGGATGCCAATAGAAATTGATCAATTCTGTCCAATCAACGGAGGTATAACACTAAAACTATACCCGTCACACAAGAAGTGGTAGTCGTGGCCCGGTGATGTAGTGGATAACGCTCTCACGTTTGAAGCGATCGCTCCCTAGTCCAAGTCCCAGTAGGAATAACATCACTCCTTGGGAGGCAGGTACATCCAGCTGACGAGTCCCAAGTAGGAGTAATTGTGCATCCTGGATTCCACTGCTAGCCACTATCCATCTTTACTATAACTAGAACACAGGCAATATCGAGGCATCCGCACAGGACCCCATAAGCCAATAGAGACTGATCAATTTTGTCCAATCAACGACGGTGTAATACAAGCAATAACACCAGTTTAAATAATCATTAGTCTCTTATGAAATATTTCAGTTGTTTTTTCGTGCTTTTGATTGCTAAAAATTCACTGTTCATTTGTATTGTCTATAAAATAAATTAAATATTTCCCCTGTATTTTCTGCCTTTTCGTTTTATTATCTAGATTTCATCCACCATAAGATATATGGTATAACTTCTAGTATATAAAGTGAAAATTGTAAAGATTTTTTTTATCGTACTTTGTGTTGTGTAACCACCAGCTGAATAACTTACAGATGTATCTACAGAAAGCCCTTTCTCCCTATCCATATGAGTCAATGCGTTCATTGTGATGTGTGCAATACAATATGAATATAATAATACCAGTGAAATGATAACTGATCGGTGAGAAGATGTAGAGCGCAATTCATTCTCAATCTTGCACACTTTCATTTAAAAGATTATTACCATTTGTAACTGTTCATATTTTAAATTCCCGCCGAAATAAACACTCCATTTTATAAACAAAGAAAAATTGTACATAATTTAAGCGTGTATTGTAAAAAGGTTTATTTTAAATTGAAAAATTTAAAGATAACTAATGTATCGGATGTTATATCTTTATATAAAAGCTGGTGGGTGTCATTCACTTCTATTACCGTAGTCATTCAAACTAACAGTTTGAACGAGGAATGATTATTATTATTTATCCTTTGGGTTCCCAGTGGAACATAGAGCTTCAGTAGCACGTTTACATTGCAATCTGTTCTCTGCAATCTTTTCAACCTAGTTCCACGACTCCCCACAGGCTTTAATTTCTTCCTCACATCATCTCCTCCATGTCACCCTCGCCTTTGACGCACGACTCATCATTTCCCATCTGAATTCCACTTGACGGTCTGGCGTGGCGCTTGATGTCCCCAATCCACCTTCGTAGTGTATGCCCACTCCAATCCACCTCCACTTTCTTCCAGTGCATATTTGTTGGGTGATAAGTTGTTGGCTGGTTCGTTGCTAGAGTTCTTTGTCGCTTATTGTTTCTGGCCATCTGAGATTCAGTGACGAGTGAGCGTAGGCGGCAGTTGTTGATGAATATCTGTACTTTGTTGGAAATGACTTTCGTAACACGCTAAGCCTCTCAACCATCACACAGAAGTACTGACTTGACTGAATTGGTGTTGAAATTCCGGATCTTGTTCACGCTTTATGCTGGGTGCAATGCAGTAGATCTCCACACTGGTTTCAAATTAATGCAGGAAAGCCTATCTTGTTGTGTTTTCGATCCTGGCTTTGAAGTCCTCATCTGTGTCTGAGCCGCCTGTGGTTGAAACGATGCTGCCTAGGTAGGTTAAATAGACAACTTGCATGAGGTTTCTCCCGTTCATCGTGACTGGTGCCTCTTGTTGTTGATGCTGTTGTTGTCCGGGTATCTTCATCACCTCTGTCTTCTCTACATTCACTTGAAGTCCCATCTTCGCTGCCCTGCATATTCTGTCAACTTGTTAC